GGCTGGTGGAATGATCTTCCCACCCCTATCCGGAATGCTGAATCCCTGACAATTTTCAAGCGACAGCTGAAAACTCATCTCTTTAAACGCTACTTGACTTCATCTTAAAAAAAAAAAAATAATAATATTTATCTTTATTTATTCCTTCCCTTTTCTAGCTTGTACTTATTTAAACAATGCCTAAAACTTGGTATTTCAAGCACTTCCTGTGTCTGTTTGCCTCTTTAAGAAGAATCGCTTTATGTATTCCCCAATTGTAAGTCGCTTTGGATAAAAGCGTCGGCAAAATGACTAAATGTAAATGTAAAAATGTAAATGTATCTGCTGTGCAAAACATTCTGCTCTGCTCTGAGACAATCCACATATCCGACCTTACTCTCGATAAAACACAGGCAAATGCAATTGCATCAGGTGTCCATCTGAATTCATATTCATGCAAAGAAATGCTTACATATATGAATTTTCTCTAAAAATCCCTGTGATTAAATACAGATAATTGTTGACAGCAATATTAATATTCACGGCAGCTCAGATCAATTGGTGATTTTGATGAGAAATGTTCAAATTCATATTGAAATTTCTACTTTTTGATTACAGACTTTGGTATCTTGGCAAATCTGCGCACAGGTTGAGACATTGAGACCTTTTCTGAAACTCTAAAGGAGAACAATGAAATTAGCATGTACGTAAAGGGCATTTCCACCTTCATGTGTAACAAACAAAACATTCATCATACTGGACAAATAACTTGATTAAACAGCACACACAGAAATAGAAGTAAATTCAGTACCAACTACACAGCTAAAAAAAACAATTAATACTATTAGTAAAATCAGGTCAATATGCTCATTCCGATCACAGGCAATGCTCACCAACAGTACTGTAACAATGACCCTTAAATAAAATTAAATAAAACAAATAAACAGTCTGTGACCTTGATGTTGCACTTGTGAAAGATTTCAAGTAAAGTCATGCATAAAACACCACAAATGTTTGTTTTTTCTTCCATGCAGTGAATGAAGTTATTTTTGATCGTAAGAATAATATTTCCATTTCTACCATCTACAGAAAAGTCTTAACAGTTTAGACTATTGTAATCGTTAGTTTTCCCAAAGGTGTTTGGAAGACAGAAATATCTTGATACACTAACAGAGATTGTTTAGTGTATATGAACGCTACACATCGCACTGAAAGCTGAAGCACAGAGACACAATGAGACACTGGAACTCTACAGAAACAGAAAGATGTGCCACCTTTGAAATAACCAGACATTTGCTGATAAATCAATCCAAACGTCTGAAGACAGAGGGATGTTAATAGACCTAGAGGAGCCACATTTATTCGGCTGTTTCCTACAAACCCACAAACCATCATAGATGCAGTATTTATCTGCCTCATAATACTGATTTACCACAAAAATGAGCCTTGTGATAGTCCTAAACCTTGCAGTACACACCAGAAATGTGTCGAAATGCTGTCGCACCTGTAGTTCAATTAGGTTTCGTGTACAGGACATCACACAGAAACACTTTCACGTCATCCTCTCTTTACAACTCCTAGTTAAACATTTTAAAAGGGGGTAGAAATGACAATTTGTAAATAATAATAAAAACTGAAATGCATCGTCCTAAAAAAAAAAAAAAAAAAAAAAAAAGTAAACAATTTATTATTGAATTACTTCCATTATTTTTATATAAAACAAAAACGTGCGCATTTCATATACTTGTTAATGGACGTCCAGTCAAAAGAAACCATCTCATACATATAAAGTTCAAATAAATATGCATAAACGTTAATATTTTTGTCTGAACTCTACAGAGTAGATGTGACTTTAGTGTAACGGACTATAACCAAAAAACAAACGTTTTTCAGTTTACAATGTAATAAATCTGGATAGAATATGTTACATTGACACAAGTGCGCACTGTAATACTGAATAAAAGTGACTTCCCATCTGAAGTCCCTGTACACCAAATCATTTGACCACCAGCACTGGCACTAATGCTTCTCTATGATCACTTCATCTGTACGGCATGAGAACCATGATCCTACACTAGAGGAAATGGACGGCATCGAAGTACAATGACTGAGGATGTGTTGCTTAACAGAAGTACCATCTTTTGTACACTGAACCTCAGATAAAAACTGTGCTATTTACAGTGCATTTAAGTCAAAGTGCTTTTGTTTCGGCTCCTTTCATGAATAACACACACACATCAGCTGTACTTTACACACTGAATAGCAGCCGATAAGAAACGTACAACATAGTACTCTAGTCAAATCCACAGCTCTGTTCCTAAACCTAGCAAACTGCCTTGCTGTCTACACTTACTAGTAACCTTCAAAGGCAGCATCCTAACAGTCAAGGAACCTCACAGGAGACTGATTTGAAATGTTAAGTGAACAACTTGAATCCTCAAACAAGCGCAAAATTTTAAAATGCACATAAAAAAAAAAAGAATAGATCAGTCCATTTGAAATCGAAGTATCTTTGAGTACCTGTTGTGTCAAGAACGTGTAATATGTCTTGACATGCATCTGTCAGGGCTGGTAATTGTGACCGATTCCACTTCACATGCTCTAGATTCGATTCGAGTTGATGCAATTCTATACTGATTCATTTGGACATGCATATATTTTTGGACAGGTGTCCATTTTTCTTGAGGAGAACAATCTCAACCAAAGCTGTGAGCTTACAGTTGATAAATTACTATAAAATATAAATGATTAAAAACAGTCCAAATTTACTTGCCATTTTTCAATAAAATAAGCAACATTCAAAGAAAAACAGAGTTGTACACATATGTAAGTTAAACATAAGGAATTTTTTAGCAACCTTCTGATGTTCATTCATGTCCATTTCATGCTGTAACTAGTAGTAAAGAGGAAGAGGTTCACGTGTCGCTTGAACTGAGACATCAATAAAATCAAAGCATGTCAAACTCCATTTGTTGTTTGAATTTTGTGCTAAAATGTATAGAATTTGAAAGTTGAGACTTTCATACTAAAAGTAACAGCACAAAGCTTATTGCGATTATTGGAGGCACATGACAAGTCATATTTAGTGACGTTTCGTTGATGCAATAATCGCAGACTTTTTGAAAGATCAATTCTTGGGTTAATTAAAATCGATTAACTGGTAATATCAACCCAGCCCTACTGTCTAGGTTCTGGAACAGAGCTTGTATCTACCAGCGCTACATAGCCGTGGTACCAAACAACACTCAGAAACGTTTATAAAGCCTAAAAGCTGTACACAGTCCTTTCGTGAAACTAAAAATGACTAATGTGCAAGAAGCATGCTGACCATAAGTAAAGAGATGATCCAGTGTGCAGTGAAGAGGAAAGAGTACATGTGTCATCCGTTTCACTGACTTGATTCAGTCCTGGGAACTTGGTGAACCCGTGTAGTGCAGTCACATACAGAGAAACGTCACTACAGGAAGACTCATGGAGGATGCCTACAGAGACTGAAGAGAACTGGATGGCATGTGATTTCACACTCAGACGTTAGAGATTAAAGGTACGGAAAGGGATGGATGAGAACTTTGAGTCAGCAGAGGCAAACCTCTTGTTCTTCTGGTTTATCTACAAAACATTTTCTCTTCTGCCTCATTTGGACTCAAGTCTGGTTTCTTTCCCTTTGTTCATCATAAGGTGAAGGAGGGGTTGTGTTTCATCACTTCCTGTAGCAGGCGCTCTCGGTCAGACAGAGCTTTCTCTAGAGCTGACTGGACATCAGCGAGTCTGGACTCCAGAGACTGAACCAACAGAGAAACAGAAACAGATGAGATTCTGAACTAGACTAAATATCAATTGTGATCAGCTGAAACACAAAAACACTCTTTTGAAACACACTATAAAGCCCTATTCGGACGGGACTAGTTTTACAGGGAAATTTGTGTTTCACAGACGTACTTCCAGAATCCCGTCCGAATCTGCCACATCTGTGTTTTTCTCACACAACCTCTGTAAAAATTACAGAGCAAATTACCTACTGTTTTTCGGCAAACTCCTGTGATCCTGTGAGAAAACTAATCCCGTCCGAATGCGAATGTCTGTGATTGCCGACGATGTGTTTTGGCCAAAGCAAACTACCGTAGACGCTCTTACCGCACGCGTTTTTGATGTTTGCCTCTCGGGGAAGAAATAAAAAATAACAATAATAAAATCAAGAACCAAATCACGTAAACTATTAAGAATGGCTAGTGTAATATCAGCGCCAGGTAAGATCACTCACGTAACGTTCATTTCTGCACTCAACTACATAATATTTTAATTACATGTGTACCTTTACGAAAATTAAACATGGTTTTATTACAACAACAAAAAAAATACAAAAAAAACAGTTAAACTAAAGTAACCACACATTAACCATGATTTTGATATACTAGCCATATAGCTTCACCATGGTATTTGTAGTAAACCTGTGGTTATATATTAATGGTAATGAATCCGAATGACTATACGCAGTGCACGCATACAGAGAACGTGATCTCTGCGACGCCCAGATGTACAAAACAGACCCTCCCACCTCTGTAATAAACATAAGAGATGTTAGTCCTGTCCAAATTGGTACATGAAAAATCGCAGACGTCAGGTGATAAGAATCGAAACTCAAACGTAGTTAGTCCCATCCGAATAAGACTTAAGAGACAATTTTACAGAGCAGTTGTAGCAATACGCCTTCACCCATAAATAATAAAAGACATTTAGGCTTCAGACATGTAATTAAGATATCCAATGCCACTGTTGACATTTGAGAGTCTTGTCCTCGAAAGGAATCGTAGCCAAGCGCTGGAAAATTACTGTAGGCTTGAAACTGTATAAACGAAAACATATTTTTTATTTCTCTGAAAAGGACACACACACACACACACACACACACACACAAAACCTCTAAAATCTTATGGAAGCCCATTTTGGCCACATAAAAAAGTCAGGCTTTAAAAAAAAAATCACAATTATGACATAAAAAGCACAATGTTGAATATTTTAAATTATGAGATACTAAGTCAATTATGAGATATTTAAAATGAAAAAGGTAAAAAGAGAAATACAAGTCATAATTATGACATGTTGGCACTGACAAAAAACAATTATGTCATAAGTCAAAATTAATCACATAATTATGTCAAAAAAGTAGAAATTGACATATGCCAATTATGATAAAGTTGAGATAACAACAAGTTGAAATTATGAGCTAAAAAGTAAATCATTACAAAAAATCAAAGACAATCTCAAATTTATTTTGTCATATACAGTAGCATGCGAAAGTTTGGGAACCCCTTGCAGAATCTGTAAAAATGTGAATAATTTTAACAAAATCTTAATGCATCGTGTTTCCTTCTGGAGCATCAGTGAATGTTTGAAACTTTTTTAATAGCTGTGTTGGAGTCCCTCAATTGTCATCAGTGTGAAAAGATGGATCTCAAAAGCATACAGTCACTGCTGGAAAGGGTTCAAATACGCAAAAGATGCTGGAAAACTGAAGAATCTGCAGGACACAGAGGATTTTTCTGAGGAACAGTGCTCAGTTTAACTGTTCAGAACAAACAAGGGACTCATGAACAACCATCACAAAACAAAAAACAGTGGTAGATCATCCAGGCAACCACATACAGTATTAAGAACCAAGGGTTCCCAAACTTTTGAATGGGGTTATTTTAATAATTTCAGCAATTTTTTTTTTGTCTTGTGGACTAAATGTAAACCTCTTTTATGTCAAATATCTCATTTAGGACAGTACTAAATAAAAAATAACAGGCATTTTGCATGATCTCTCTTATTTTGTTAAAATTATTCACATTTTCACAGATTCTGCAATGGGTTCCCAAACTTTTGCATGCCACTATATAGCCTTGTTCTACATATACACACATAAGCACATCCAGAGACATAAATATCAGCCTGCATGCATGCACTTTCATGTGCACATGAGTCTTTTCATCCCCTCAGGCACATAGGCTTTCTGCCCAGCGTTACTGCCCTCTTGCATCTCATTCTACCACCTGCAGTTCTGGCCTTACCTTACCGGAAACGTCAAAAGCAGCAGGGACATATTTTCCACTAGATCAAGGAAGGTTTTCTGGGTGAGGCCCTATTTTCCAGCTCATTAATTTTAGATGCAATCCTCACTGTGGCTAATCCACTCTTGCATCCTAATAAATCTTTTTTTTTTATGTTTTGACAATATAGGGTGCAAAAAATCAAAATATTGAGAAAATTGCCTTTAAAGTTGTCCAAATGAAGTTCTTAGCAATGCATATTACTAATCAAAAATTAAGTTTTGATATATTTACAGTAGGAAATTTACAAAATATCTTCATGGAACATGATCTTTACTTAATGTCCTAATGATTTTTGGCATAAAAGAAAAATCACAAATTTTGACCCATACAATGTATTTTTGGCTATTGCTACAAATATACCCCAGCGACATAAGACTGGTTTTGTGCTCCAGGGTCACAAATATCTTTTGTCTTTTTATCTCAATTTTGACTTAGTATCTCATAATTTCCACTTCTTTATTTAATTTAATTTTAAATTTCAAGTTTTATCTCTGAATTTTGACTGAAGCATATTTTTTCTTTTGTGGCAAAAATGGGCTACCATACAAAGCTCATTAGCGCTTGTGTATAATTAAAATATAGTGCGTCAAGATGCGTCAGGTTTGATGCCAACAACGTCAGAAGTCATTTTTTTATTTTCTCTTTCTATGTCCAACCTGACATCATGCATCTGGAAATGCAACGTTCAAATTAATTGTGAGTGAAAATGAGATTTAAAAACTACGATAGGGACAGATGTTCTGTTTAACATCTCAAACCAAACTCAAACAGGCCAAACACATAAATAATGCAACATTACATTGTGTATAATAATTTTCTAATATATGATACCTTGTTTTTCTCCTCAGCTCTAAAGCAGGATTGGCCAGCTCTATCTTTGTCCCCACCTGTCTCAATCCCTGATTGGCTCTGCGCAGCTGCATGCGTAAAAGTGAAACAGAGGAAGCAAACGTTAGTTTAACAGGTGACAGCACAGATATCCTGTAATCTGAGCAGCCGCTGTAACCCAAACCCAAAGGACTCACGTCTCAAGCTGAGGATTCCATCATCCAAACGCTCCAGCACAATACCATCCAGAGAGAAAAGCACAGGAACTGGTTGAGGAGCGGTCGGGTAGACACGAGGACCATCATCCTGTCAGAAAGAGAGAAAACAGAACAGAAATCATTTTTCATTGCCTTAGTCTTGTCTTGCTTTGTAAAATGTTGAAGCTTGTCCATTAACTGATCAACTGATAATCTATCAAAGGGAATGGCTAGTCTCTGATTATGGGCATCATTTGACCCTCATTCTCACCTTTAGTGTAATAGCAGTGTCCCGTAACCACAGTCTCATTGGCTGGGGGTCTGCGCTGAGCTCATCCTCCAGGAAGGGTCCCAGCGTGTTTAAGGTAGAAGCCAGGAGCTCTGCTTTGCACCCTGTCAAGCACATTTCCATGAAGCCCACACTCTCAGACAGAGGAGAGTGTCTGCCTGCACATGGTCCCATCTCCATCCTGAGGGCCGCTGCTGGGGGACAGGAGAGAGACTGGGGCCCAGGAGACAGAGGAGCACTTGGGGAGGAAGAACCAGCTATTGTGAAAAAAAAAAAAACGTTTTGGTAAATCTTAAATTAGTGCCATACTGCATGTATCTGCACACACATGATGTTAACATCAGTTTGTTTCTACACTGGAGTAAGCAATATTATGGATAGAGGAGTCGTATTTTAGCCCGGAAGCAACGCTTTGAATTTAAAAATGTCTTGATGGATTTGTTTCTTAAAACACACAGCTTTTTGCTTCAGTGGTGTGGATTACTTGTGGATTATTGTTATGTTTTTATCAGCAGTTTGACTCTCATTCTGACGGCACCCATTGCCATGGCCAATTCGTAAATATTTTTTTGCTTTGGAGTGGCTTTATTCAATAACATATTTGTGCCTTTTTGTACAATCTGCTTATGCCCAACTGATGGTTAAGTTTAGGGGTGGACCTTTATGCTTTCGTTATTTCTAATCATGTTTCTGTATGAATAATATTGTGCAAATACATACAAAATCACCACCTGGTAAAATAGTTGTTTTCTCATGTGATCAGGTTGGATGCACCTGTAAACCACAGAAACTGAAACCTTCTGGTTTGTCATCTTCGCATGCATGTTTGGCAGCTTCTGAAAAGCTGAATTAGCACAAGGCCATTCAAAAACCGAGGGTCAGTTGTGGCGCTCACAGTGAAAGTGATCACCAATGGTATCTTGGGAATGTTTGGTCATGAGATTAATTAAAGTTAATGTAAACAGACGGGACAAAAAAGTGGTCAAATATGTCCAAATAATAATAATTAAAAAATAATAATAAAAAAATAAATAATAATAATAATTAGGTCTTGAAGTGTAAAGAGTCTGAATGGCATATTGGCAATATTTTTGCATTCACATTTATGGTCACATTCAGCATCCTAACCCTGTGTCAGTGCCAGTCCTGCCAGCAGGTCTGTGACTTTATGGTTGCCAAGTTGTTTAGGCACAAGCTCTTGGGCTTCCAGCGCCACCACGATATCTTCACCACGCATCTCTGTCAGGCACCCCATTCGACTCAGACACAGAACTAACACAGACACCTGAGGAAAAAAAAGCGCTCATTAAAAATCACACAACCAACTATGATCAAAGTAAATGCTGTTGATCAATCCTGACAGCACTGATTTCTTACTAAACTTTCCCTCACTGATTAGTAAAGTACATGTCTACTATTTTTGTGTGTGTGTGTGTGACAAACAGACTGACAGCTCCTGGTTACACTGTTTTTGATGTAATTGAAATGTTTAATTTACAATGTAATTAAAATGCTAAATCAATATGTAAACTGTTTGCATTAATCCAGTTCTTATAACTTCTGAAATAATTATTTGTGGTTAGTTAATTTAAGAAACTGAGGAGTTACGGCAAATGACATCAATTAGAGAACAGGAAATAAGAAATATACAGCAGAAAAACAAATATTGCAATAATAGTCAAAGTAAAATATTATCAAATAATACAAAAATTTAAAAAAAAACATTTTGCTATTTTTCAGAGATTTGTACAATGAGCACTTCATTTACAGCACAGTGTCAGGATGCATTTTCTGATGATCTTCCATGCAGAGGACAAGTGGCAGGTGTTTAGCCATCTAGATGTGCTACAGATAAGATAAAACTCACCATATCTTGAGCAATGTCTTCAGTGCTCTGGGATAGGGAGCTGCTGAGGTCTGCTGATGAGCCGCCTTCTGTTCCTGGAGCTGGACTAACACAGCTGCCGGAGACACCTGCACCATTAGGACGCAAAGACTCCACACCAGACTCTGAATCACAACAACACAAATACACACGACTTAGACACTGACAGTTATAGTTATAGCTTTTAAAATAAAAGTGCAAGTGCTGTACCAGAGTCCATGAGGATGACAAAGTTTTCACTGATGTCACTATCAATGGACATGCCATCGTCCGCCAGACTACTTTCTAAAATGGCACTGTCACAGGAATTCTGGGAAGGCGACTGTTTCATGGACTGAAGCCGCAGGTTCCCCATCATGGAGGGACCGGACTCTTCTGGCCGTGCACTTTGCTCCCTACAGAAGTCATATCAACACATGATACTTGAGTCAATGAATTACAAGTCATTAACCACACTGGCAGGAAGAGTTCAGCATAACTTGTCAAACATTAAAGGGATAGCTAATTAATTTTGTCATTAATTACTGATCTTCATGTCATTCCAAACCCATAAAACTATTAATTTTGGAGAAAAAAAAAGAGGGTATTTGTAATGAAACTTGAGAGACTTCTCTACCTCCATTGAAAGTCAATTCCACCAGAACGTTGACGCTTCAAAAAGTTCATAAAGACCTAAAATCCTAAAGTAGTCCATATGAATTGAGCAGTTTAATTTGCAAATAATTGAAAGGAAACCTATTATGCCCCTTTTTACAATATGTAATATAAGTCTCAGGTGTCCCCAGAACGTGTCTGTGAAGTTTCAGCTCAAAATACCCCACAGATCATTTATTATATCAATTAATTTTGGAGAAAAAAAAAGAGGGTATTTGTAATGAAACTTGAGAGACTTCTCTACCTCCATTGAAAGTCAATTCCACCAGAACGTTGACGCTTCAAAAAGTTCATAAAGACCTAAAATCCTAAAGTAGTCCATATGAATTGAGCAGTTTAATTTGCAAATAATTGAAAGGAAACCTATTATGCCCCTTTTTACAATATGTAATATAAGTCTCAGGTGTCCCCAGAACGTGTCTGTGAAGTTTCAGCTCAAAATACCCCACAGATCATTTATTATATCATTTTGAAAATGCCTATTTTGAGTGGAAGCAGAAACACACCGTTTTCGTGCATGTCTCTTTAAATGAAAATGAGCTGCTGCTCCCCGCCCACTTTTCCAGAATAGTGCTGTGCCTTTACAGCTCGCTCCTCAGATACTCTGCTAAAACCATCAGTTTGGTTTTGATTATCATGTCTATCACGCTAAAATCATGCATTTTAAACTATATTAGTTTAAACTTCTGATATACAGTTTTCTGAGCGCACACATCCGAAGCATGTGCACAGAAAGCGGCTGTCACACGGCATGCGAGTACTAAACTAAGGCCATGTCCACCAGTACACGGGTATTTTTATGCCAAACCAACAGGTGGCGATATAATCTCAACCGTAAAGCCATGTTGGCCAATCAGAAGCCTGAAAAAGTTTCCAGTAGGCGGAGATAACAGCGCAAGCCCCGACATCACAAGCCAAAATCTCCGGTTTCGCTGTCTACACGACAACACTGCAACCGGAGTTTTTGAAAATCTTCACCTTGGCAGGAGTTTTCAAAGATGTTCGGTTTCAGTGACCTGGTGGTGCGTTTGCGTGTGGACGATCGGCCAAACCGCGTAGAAAAAGCTGCGGTTTTGAAAATGTCCACGTTCGTGTGGACAGGGCCTAGGGTTCTCTTTCATGTCTTATTGCACTTAAACTGTCAAATACACAAAACTAAATATAGACATTCTCTAGAATAGCCACAAGCGGTATCAGCTCTTTGCAGTTATGTACTGTGTGCACTGCATGCGAGCTCATCTAAAAGATGACCAGATAATTCAGAAACGTAACCACTAATTAAATGGCTCTGATCAGGCGATAATTTCTAGGATGGAGTCAACAATGGCTAGAGTTATAGAAGTGATAGAACAGTTTTTTTTTTAAATTAGCAACTGAAAGAGTTCATCAGCAGTCCAAGGAGATAAAATGTGAACAGTAAAATGATGAGTTTCAGCCACCGTAAGATATACCAGATTTTCCATATCAATGCACTCCTAAAACCAAGACCAAAGCAATGCAGATGGCTCAAAGCTCTTACTTGTTTTGAGGAGAGAAGAGTTTAGTCATGCCAGATCCTCGGCTCAGGATGCTGAATGCATCTTTCGTGATGGACAGCGCACCCTTGGTGAGATCCAGGGAGGCGCTGAGTGCATCTTTGGTGACACCTTTGGTGGCATTCAGGGCACTGGACAGCTCTCCCTCCAAGCTGAAAGTGGAGCTATGATGGGACAGTAATGCAGGATTCCCTGGAGAAAGCGGAGGAGACGAGGAAGGAATGACGGCCTGAGCTTCATCATCCTGCCCCGTTGGTCCATCCATTCCTTCTTCAACGGCTTCACAAGCCTCCTCTACCGAACCCTCCTGCTCGGCATAATCCTCTTGATCCTCATTCCCTCCTGTCCCACTGTCCTCCAGCAGGCCAGGCTCACCGGCATGGTGGGATGGCGAGAGGTCAGAGTCGGTCAAGCTAGGACTGTCCGTTTCCTCAGGAGAATGGGCTTCTTCTACTGGCTCGGATGTTGCAGGAGGAAGCAGTAGAGCAAGTTCTATCGCCTCCATTAGGATTGAGACACAAACCGAAGGGGGATCTGATGGTTTATGTTCAGGTTGTCCCAAACCCTGGACGTCCTTGGTCAAATCTCCAGCTAGTCGGGCAAGATAGTCCTTCATCCGCAAAAGAGCTACGAACTGGTAGTGGTTGAGCCACATTTTGACAGGAGTGATGGATTGGGCTAAGATATGAATGGAGGCCATGGGAGAGTTGACTAGATCTTTGGTTTGGTCAACTTTACTAGATATGATGTCATTTACACCCTGCAGTGAGTCTAGGAGGGGTTGCTTGCTAGAACCGGTTGGGGATTTTGAATCTGCATCTATACTCGAACAATGAGAGTCTTTTTTGAAGGCAGAAGGGCAGCACATCCACAAGGACATGGCAAAGGGCTCCACAAAGGGAAGAGCTTTCCCTTTGAGCCCTCGACGAGCCCCCTCAAAGCCAAGAGTCACTCGGGACAGACTGACAGACCAGACGTCCTGAGAGCGAGAGGGATGTTTGTGCGCTAATGACAGGGACTCGTTTTCCAGACAGTGTTGAAGGAATGCAGACGGCAGGGGAAGAAGGACGCTCTGATCACGAGGGAAAGGTTGGCACACCATGGGACGGAAGAAAGTGCAGGTGGAGAAGCTGCTGTAGGTGCTGTTGAGGTCCGAATGGGAACCGTGAGGAGCGTGGCGTGTGTTGCTGAGGATGATCTGAGGAAGGCTGATGCTCAGTGACTGAGGGCGGTCTGGGTGATCCAGAATGGAGGATTCTAGAGGAATGATGAGCTGAAGAGGAAGAAGTTTCGGCTAAAACACTTGCAAAATATTACCGAAAGAGCAAAGATGTCTGTTTAAAGGCCAGGACACACCAAGCCGACAGTCAGCCGTCAGCCAATGTCGGGCCGTCGGTGAGCGTCTGTCGGGCTCTAGTTTGTTTGGTGTGTTCCACTCGTCGGCTCTCATCGGGCTCACGTTGGCGGCAGTTTGCCCGATTCAACATGTTGATTCGGCGTCGGGGCCGTCGGCGCGAGTGAGAACTCTGATTGGATGTTCAGTTTAGTGAACGAGTCAGTGCCCAAGAATTAAAGCGAAAGTGATGAATACAAGCACGTAAATGAAGGTGGTACAGACAGAAGGCTGTTTAAATGTTACGTTATCTTTCCCAATCATTCTAATACGCAAATGTTTTCATAACAGCATGAGCCGCTTAAAATGATTAAAGTTATCAACGTTACTGATATTTAAAATGTTATGTAAGAGCTGCTTTGTTTACGTTTCATATATCTGCGTTTATCTCGTATGTCTTTGTTTTGGTTTCTCCTTTTGAATAACAAATATATACTATTGATAGCTGCTGATAAAGACGCAGAACGCACGTGTTAGTTTGCAGTCGGCTGTAGTCAGTGCGGTGTGTTCAAGCGCAGCTTTTTGGTCCGACGCTGCCGGCAAGAGGTGACAACACCGTTGAATTTCGTCGCCGCTAGTTCTTTTAAGTCGGCTTGGTGTGTCCTGGCCTTTAGAATGGAGGAAATGTCTATAGCTGTTGCCATCACCCTGTTTTTATGCACATTTTGAAGTATCGCATCAGAAATTAGTGATGGAAACGTCAAATTTCGAAAGAAAAATCCCTTAATTCGCAAAACAGTTTTTATGCTCGCTTGAGGTGGTTTTTGACTTGTGCGGAAAAGGGTTAATGCATATAATGGGAGATGAAAACACATTCACCGAGTAAATTCCTCCATGCGCACCAAAAAAAATCATGTGACTTTGCGCCATGGGACATCTCGTTGCACAGCATCTGAAATATTATGGTCATTCTTAAATGCCCAAGCAAAGTCTGTCATCAAAGTATTTTTGTATAATTGCCTCCCAGAACTGTCTTTACACGAATGCGTTCCCAAACAGCAGGCATCCACCTCCGAAAGTTTTTCCACAATTTATTGTGTTTTGTCTACTCGCTCTGAGGTGCAAGTAATTTATTATATACGAAAATGAATATATTCAGTGGCTAATCCTACTTTTCTTAGTGATATTTAGTGCCAGTTTATCAGGAAGTGGCGATTTTGTTCTCTTTGGCTCGTTGGATGGAAACGGTGCTTATTCACAAATGTTTTATGCGATATTCCAGTTTTGCATACAAGTTAAATTTGCAACTTAGGATGGAAACCCGGCTTACGATAAAGAAAAGGAAAATTCTTTTTAAAAAGTAGCACCAAAAGCTTCTTAGGAAAATTTGTATTTCCTTTTACGAAACATTTCTTTCAAAGCACATAAGATCTGTTGGTTTACCTTCAGCTGTGTTGCATCCAGGCGGATATCGATGTGTTCGTCCGTCTTGCTGCTGTCCTGGAGGTGATAAAAGGCTTTGACCTGATCTAGCGTCTTGTGTAGACCCCGTGAGAACAGAGTCATCCACAAGACACTTGGGGCATCCAGATACAGCTGTAGACCATTGAGCTGGGCATAAAGATTAGAGCAGGGAACTAGAGAGAGAGGAGGGGCCAATGGGAGGAAAATAAAAATTGTAAGATTAGATTTAGATAAATTAAACTCTTTCCCACCAGGACAGATCAACCTTCACACTGCAGTTTGAGTTTGTTCATATGAATGATATGCATTAACCATAGTGATCAATGAATGTGAAAAATCATAGCTAACGCACCAGGAAGTCCAGGGTTATCAGGGAAGTAGTATTCAGTGAACTGAAGGTGAATTGCAGGAGTGCTGTCTGGGAGATGTAAGGATTTGCGGTTGCAGGAGAGGAGAGACTGTGTTCTCTTGCTGTGACGGCCTCCAGTGGACACCTATAGCAACAGATGGGGTTTTAATAACAGATATGTTTTATTTATTTATTGACTTTAGCTTTTCAAAAAAAGGTGACCAGCTTTTGTCGCACAGAGTGTTCTGGGAACTTTACTTTGCAGTAAGAACAGCAAAAAAAAATATTTTTTTCCCCCGATTTAAAATAAATGTTTTCTATTTGAATATATTGTAAAATGTCATTTATTCCTGTGATCGAAGCTGAATTTTCAGCATCATTACTCTAGTCTTCAGTGTCACATGATCCTTCAGAAATCATTCTAATATATGCTGATTTGCTGCTTAAGAAACATGTATTATCATCAATGTACACAATTTAACACAGTTGTGCTACTTCATTATTTTTGTGGAAATGGTGATACATTTTACACCAAACATTTGAACTGAGGACAGAAGATTAAACCATTTCTTATACTTGAGGGTAACATTTATCTAATGAATTTTCCCCCACATTTTCTGTTTATTCAGCCTTGATAACTTTGAGAACTGTAGCTTTAAGAGTACACACTTATGTCTCTTTTGAGCTACCGAGACAACTGTAAACATGAGAAAACATGCCTTATATCATAAGTGACAGCACTGATGAAATGTTCATGCCCTAAGGATGCATTACATTAAAAATTAAAGTGTCACATTGTCTTGTCGAGAATGAAAAATACTTGCCGATCCACGTTACACATGAATGTATCAGAGATTCTTTAAAAACATTTTCTGAATTAGTGTGACATGTCCAATTTATCTCAATGAAACTCATCAAAATTGTCATCTTGCCCTTGAACTTCCCATTTCAGCATAACCAAAGCATAACATCAGCAACACATCACATGCTGCTTTATCCTTGTGATGCAAAAAGGGATGACATAAGCAGATTTAATTTGCCCGGCGAGTCCAATTTTGGACGGAACTGACTTGTGTCACATAAAAAGCATGAGTATACAAGCTTGTGGTAAAAGAGTAAAAACAAATACAAAACTTGTGCTTCCTCTTTTAGCAGTCTCAGTGTATGTCTATTCACAACAGAACAAATTAATTACAGACTTTTATGATACACTGTTTCCTGTGAAATGTTTAGACATCTAAAGTGTTCAAATTACACATTATCCACAAGTGGGATTCAAAAACAAGGTAAACCTGGGAATAAACAAAAAGGTATATATACTTTAAAAAATATAGTTTAAAATGAATTTAAAAAATACATTTTACAACAAATACAAAAACAAAACAAAACAAATTACAACAAAAAGGAGAGATGGACTTTTAATCTGCACAGTATATAAGAATAAAAAGGCTGTCATTCTCAAGTGTGTTTCAATGATTTTGTATGTTTGTGAAGAGATGTCTCAGACCTGATGGATGTCCAGGTCATCCACACGGATCACCATACAGCTGGAGCGAAGTCTCTTCAGCGGGGTTCCTGAGGACGGGGCGGCTGCTGAAGTCCGCCGTGAGGTCTGAGACCGCTCAGGACTGAAATTGGACAGTGATTCTCCATCTGCGTAACATAAAATAAGACCACTCCAATATTAAGAAACTAACACAATAAAGCAAACTCTCAAGAGGAAAAAAAAACAAACATGTTCATGTTATTTTTTGTTTAGACTAAGAAATTGTAAGAACTGTGCTTCTTGAGAGAGAAAAGTTGTTACACTTTGAAGACAGATTAAAATTAAACTTTTTTTTTTTTTTTAAATAATGTGCACTGATGAATCATTCACAATAATGCCATCATTTAGTGTTGGATTGGGGATGGATAGACATTCAGAGAACGCTTACCCTTGATTTTTTGGGCCGGAGAGTCTTTAGCGGACACATTTGTCTCTGAATGCGGTCCAGGGATGCCCAGATCCTCCACCCTCCTCTGAAACTCCTGCAGCAGTTTGGCGGCCCACTGAGCTCGAGACTCCATCGCCCCGCAGTGACGCTCCCAATGCCGACAGCCATCACCTGTACAGCACAGCATATGTCACTAATCAACACACGTCTCTCAACTACACATATCTGGCTCTTACCCTACAGTCAACCATTCACACAATACACTGACTTCAGACACAGTTATAACCTAAACATGAAAGCTCTACTCGAAAGCTTGGGGTCAGAAAGTTTGGGACAAAATTTATACTTTTATTCAACAAGGATGCATTATATTAATCAAAAGTGACAGTAAATACAATTATATTTTTTCTAAAAATTATGAAGCAGCACAACTGTTTTTAACATTTATAATAACCAAATCAGCATATTAGAATGATTTCTGAAGAATCATGTGACACTGAAGACTGGAGTAATGATGCTGAAAATTCAGCCTTTGATCACAGCAATAAATTAAATTTGAAAATACATCCAAATAAAAAACAGTGATTTTAAATTGTAATAATATTTCACAATTTTACTGTAATATGATCAAATAAATGCAGCCTTGCCCAACATACGAGACTTCTTTCAAAAACATATGAACGGTAGTGTGAATTATGAATGGTAATTAATTTGTATTAAACCTCTGAAGCACAACTCAGTATAATTTGAAGCTCATATGAACAGCAGTAGAGTCACCTGGCCTGTGGAACGGGTAATAGTCACAGCCCAGCTTCCGGAAGGTCAGCTGCATCGCACCCTGCGTGCCTGGAGGTGGAGCTTCATCTATGTGTGCAGCATAAATCACATCGGTTAGCCCTTGTCATGATGAAATATCTAACTGGTAACAACATAAGTTAACTTAGCTCATTCAAATATTCAAACCTGCATGAGTTGCTGTCTTCCAAGGAACACTAAAGACAATATTTATTGGAATGTCCAGACTGCTCTTTTTCATAAAAAGGGCAAAAATGCATAATTTAAGTAAGCCAAAAGTGGTTTAAATTCATCCTGTTTCTCGCATTAACAGCCCCACTGACTTTCATTGTTTGGAAAAGAGCAGCTTGAACATTTTGTTAAACGTCTCCCTTTGTTTTCCACAGAAGAAGAAAAAAGTACGGGTTTGGAATGGCATAAGCGTGAGTAAATGTCCGTTTAAATTTTCGATGACTTATTATTTCAAAGCATCTCGGTGGTAACGGTGATCAAAATTCAGTACCGGAATCTGAGGAGCTGTCGTTGCAGATATGCAGGTCGAGTCGGGAGATGAAAGTGTGGTAGGATGATTCTTTGACATCGTGGAGGTCAAAATACTGGGCCAGTGTGCCGGGGGTCCCGACCGCTTCGGGTGGAGGAGGTTCAGTCCACAGAGAGTGGATCCCAGGAGAGGGAGGCGCAGTCTGATGCACAAATACAATAAGACATAAATAAACACTCAAGCACTGTCTGAGTCATTCACGGCTGATGAAGAATGGGCTGCTCCTGGCTGATTACAGAACCGGCTTTACTGACGAGATGCGCATTAAATATTGTGCGATATTTATCGTGCAGCCCTACTCCTGGGTAGAGCTGGGATTTAATATATTATAGAGGGCTTTACATTACATTTACTTTGCTGAGCTGTTTTGTAATGACAATTGTGTTAAAAAGCCACACTAAAACCACCAAAACCTGATTCATGAAGTCTGAGCCAGCTGCAGCGTAAGACAAGGGTTTTGTTTTTGATCTTAAAACATCAAGTGCCAATAAGAAGAGTATCTGATGAATCATTAAGCTGTTTTCATAACAGACTGATTTAAAGGACACAGTGTGGCACCTGTAGTGTCTCAGCAGCCATGCTCTTCCTCTGCTGGCCGGACTTCTCCATGGCTTCACTCAGAGACTTGGCGTAGTGGATGATGGCCTTGAGCTGAGAGTCTGTCAGCACCCACAGCAGATCATCCAGTATAAACAGCAGCTTAGAGGCCAAGACATTACAGTCCTTCACCTGAGATGATGAGAGTTAACGTCAGTAACGTCAGCACAGAATGCATATGATTTCATTCTGAAATGAAATCCTTTCTTTAACATTTGAAAGGATACTATGGCAAAGTTATTGCTTTCCTTATTCAAACAGATTTTTTTTTCATGAATGTATGGTTGACCTGAAGAATGAAAGCTATATCATATACACTTGGAAAATTATGAGCTATATCACCGCTTATCGACACTAGGGGTGTGACAATTCAGAGAGATGAGACAAAATACAGATACTTGGTTCACTAGAACGAGACAATATTTTAATACTATTTTAAGACGTTTTCAATTACAAAATATTTGTCTTTTAATAACAAAACGTAAAACAATGCAGTTGTATTTTGAAATATTTTAACTAATCTAGGGCTGTAACTAATGATTATTTTGGTAATCAAGTAATCTACTGATTATTTTGACAATTAAGTAATCTGATATTTTTTAGTAACACAAACAGACCTAAGTGAAAACCAGGCTTTAGTATGACTATTTATATATAAACTAATGATGAGGCAATAATAATTGGCTCAAATAAAATAGCAAAACCAAGAAATTACATGATTGTATTGAACAACACTGTTAAAATACATAAGGTAATATGCCTATACATAATATGAACATAACCAAGTACATTATGTGTTATAACAAATTCCTGCAGAGGGCGCCACCGGCCTGGTGACGTTTCAATTTACAGCGTGATTAAAAGATGTTTAAATCCATTTAATTTTCATATTTGGCCACATGCAAACTCAGAAACATTTATTTATTCTGATTGGCTAGTAATGTTAGTTTGGTTGAGAGTGAAAGCTGTGCTCCTCTCACACCATTGGTAGGCGAACTCATGGACTCGAAAGTGATATCAACAAGTTTTTTTTAAATGTAGGATTTTTTTTTTTTCACTGCCAAACGCTGCACGCCGGAGATCCGGCACGGTGCCAGAGAACTTTAAGCCCTGCATACATGTAGCTCATTATAACTTTATTTTACTTTTTTTTTTTTTTAAAGCCAAACGTTTGAAAGTTATTTAATTAATTATTACTATTTTTAATAAATACTATATTTGGTATTTTACAGTATAATTATTACAATATATTTTAATTTATTTAATATTTTTTCTAAAATATTCTAGTTATTAATATTATTTTATAGCAATAATGAATGGGTCATAAAACAATAGGAATGTGGTCTATGATAACTCAAGTAAAGACAGATTTTTTTTTTCTGGTCACTTTACGGTTTCTGAAAGAAGTATGCTGAAAGTTGGTACGCCAAGTACACCAAAGTGTAAACTCCACATATTTTCAAGTTTTTACCTAAATTGTTAAGCCCTAAAATGATGGTTCACACACTAAAAAAAAAATAAGTCTTTAGAGTCATAAGTTATATTTTAAGATTTTTTTTTAATTATTTTTCATTTTCCAAGGAGATGCACTTCCCTGAATCACCCCAATCACTCTAGAATGATTAATTCTTCCCAAATAGAGCTATTCAAGTCATCTGGTGGTAAAAAAAAATAAATAAATCATAATCACAGAAAAAAAATCATTTTCATATCACAGTAGATATTGCAGAAAAATAAAATATCACAATATCCATTTTTTTTCTAATATCGTACAGCCCTAATTCTGATGATTATGAAAATAGTGATTTGATCTTAGTTCCAGTATCCCAAAGTAACACATTATAAAATCAGCAGCAGCAGATGATGTCCTATCAAACAATCTCACGTCAAATCTTCAACATTAATGTGAAATGAATGTAAAATGCAATACAAAATTCTCTAAATTAGGGCAAAAATCTACTTTTTTTTACAAAAATGACCAGAATCTTCCAAGCAAGATGGAAAAACTATGCAAACTTTGCAACTAGTTTGGTCATTTTCCCAGGTGCCTATGGCAAATGTGATATGAAGAGAGAAAATATTAGAATTTTTCAAAACAATTGCTTTCAAAACAAATCAAAACCATACCCTGCGTTTGAGAGCGATGCGTATGCGTCCTTGATTGGTAATGAGGCGCAGTGGCGTGCTGCCCAGATCCTGCTCATCACTCTCGATGGCATCCGCCTCTATGCGCAGACTCTGCCAGTTGATCTCCTTGAACGTTAGGACCTGCAGGACACCAGAGACTGTATGAGGATGAGACATAACAAGCAAAATTTCTTTGTTTTCGGTTTAAGAGATGAAGTCGGTGACACTGACTTGTCAGTAGTGGATGCGTAGTTTCATACTGATTGCATAATCTGAGAATATTTATTTTCCATTTGAATTGGTTCATTTGAAAGTAGACATTTCACTCTCTATAGATATATTTTTAATGTCTGTAAGGCAAAGATATACTCAGAGTTTCGCGCTCAAGTTCACAGAGACCGAGATGGCAGAAAGTGCATCATGTTTGCTTTCACTATTTTACAAAAAATCATATACCACAGCAAAAACTATAGTCTGAGAAAGTTCAAACATGTTTAAAGGCAAGTGAACAGTCAGTAAAAAAAAAAGGAAAAAAAGAAATACACAATTTACAAGAAATAAAATAAACAGTAGTATTCAGGTACAGAAATGTAATAATTACGTGTAAAATAACACTGCATTGTATTCACTGTATGAATTCAATTTAGATTAATCTTTGTTATAGCTGTTTTGTTGTTTGATTAACATTAGTGACATATTCAGCAGCACGTATTTATAGGCTGCTGTCCCTTTAAATCCAACTGCACGGCTCCAGTATAATGGTACACATCCGATTTCTTTCTCAGCTGTTTACATTCATTTAAAACATAACTGACTGCGTTTACGAGAATAATATTTACATACAAACACATACAATACATACAAATATTTTTTTAAATATATACATATATGTGCGTGTATTTATATATACATAATAAACATGCACAGTACTTTTATTCCGAATCAATTAATCGCGATTAATCATTTTGCAGCCCTAATTTACATCTTAAACTTTTATTATGGGGTGACTGCTTAAAGCTTCTCCTTTGTTGGTAACAGGTTTATAAATGCAAATCTGTTGAAATTAGTGATGCAGTATCACATTTGTTAATTGCAGCCAAATCACAATTTTAATTTTGAATTATTATACTTTTAAATCATGTAGCCTAGCTGAACAACTAAAACATTGTGTCAGTTTGATAGCATGCTGACTGCAGAAACACTCTTGAGCATTCTGCTTTGAACTCCACTGACTTCATCTCGCCTACCGACGTCGTGCTTCAGCGGGCGGCGTGACCCTGATGGCCGCGGGCGAGCAGAAGCAGAGCTCTATATCGAGAGAGCATGAGAGGTCAACATCCATCTTACATCTAACTGCATTATTGCTTAGGAAAGGCTGGTTTAGAAGATCTGGCAACCCGAATATACTCTTCATATAACAAAATTATTGATTTCATTATCTAATGGCCATCTGGAAATTAAGCGGGGACTTTTCATGAGCATGTGCTTCTGTTAGCGAAGGAAAGCAAGCGAAAGAGGAACAAGAGGAGGAGAAGTGAAGTGTAGAAACACTTTGATCTGACTGCCGTTGATCTCTGCACTATGACGGTACTGCCCTTTGTCCCCTTTTGGATTATGTAACCATTGCTATTTTTCTCCATAATGATTCACTTGCTCTTTAAAATGAAGAAACAGACAGTTAAAGGTGCTTCACCCTGGGTTTCACCTCTGGGTGATCCCTTGTAATGCCACAAAAAATTTAATTGCACTTCTTTAAGGTAAAAGTGGCAAGTGTTTATAACCTCGGGTGCTTCTTCCAGCAGGAGTCAGACGCATCAAATTGAGCGGTCAGTGTTCCAGGACGGCCCACACCATGTACACTGAAGCATAAACCTGCTTTTACTGTTGTATAGCACTTTCAAAACAGGTACTGTGGTGTATGTCTGCACTGTACTGTACCTCTCCTCTCTTCGGATGTGTAATGCGCGTGTAGCGCAGGTCGCTCTTCTGCCATTTGGGATTGAGGCTGCAGCCCTGGAGCTGCCAGAGCTCAAAGGAGGCGTGAAACGCTCGGGCCTGAACTTTAATCGTGATGGAGTTGATGATCACAGACATTCCCTCCACTACCTTCTCAGCAAAGCCATACTCACTGTAGAGACAAGAAACAGACCGCAAACATGCATTACACAGACTGGATCTGACGTTCAATCCAGTGTTGCTATTGTAAAATTAAAATCAGAAATGTTGCCTTGGAAACATTTTGAAGTAATACAATTACTAAAACTAAAACTGAAATAAAAATACCGTATTGTCCCGAATATAAGACGATATTTTTTTCTTGGAAATACATCTGAAAAAACGCGGTCGTCTTATATTCGGGCCAATACGGTAAAAGAAATCTAAACATAAAAAAATAATAATAATAATATAAACTAAATATTAAAATGAAAAAAAAAAATTTAAATGTAAAATTAAAATATAAAAATATTAATAAATACTATAGACAAAATAATGTTCAAGACGGTAAAACAAAATTAAATAAAATAAAATTAGATTTTTTACATTTTTTTAAATGACAAAACTCACAAAACAATAGTGTTACAAAGTTGCTAGGGTGATTGAGATTTTAGTTTCTAGGTGTTTTTAGAACATTCTAGGTTGTTCTTGACATTCCGAAGAACATTCCAGGGTATCTGCAGGGGTTTTAAAATCAAATTTAAGGCTTTTCAAGACCTGCACATATAAAAATAATACCATATGGGGGGAGGGGGAGTACGATAATGTCTATGGTAACATACTGAACTGTAAAATGACTGTAAAAATGACAATTCAAGCAACTTTACAGCCAAAATAATTTGATGGGGCTTTTTTTTTTTTTTGGCAAAAACAAAAGTTTTATGAAATTATAAACCTCACATTTCAGCCTATAAACCATTTTAATAAAAATGAGAATTCAAAATGATGATAAAAAATATTAATTTAAAGAAACATTTTTACTTTGAAACATGCAGCACTTACATTTAATGCAATCATCGCCTTTTCAAGTTGAATAATCACATTAAACCATTTCACAATTCCTGTTTTTCTGTTCCTAAATTCAAGACTTTTTGAGATATTTAAGACTTTTTGAGATATTTAAGACTTTTTTTTACCTTAAATTTGATAAAAACCAAATGAAAGACTTTTCAAGGGGACATTCAATATTCTAAAGACTTCAATATTCTAATGATATTCTGCCTTATGTTTCCCTTCACAGCCTACAGATCTAATTTATGGTCACCATTTGAGGAATCGTTTGTTTGTAGTACAAATGGTGCGATATGTTTTACTCTGCCAGTACTTGGCATTAAGTGTTTGAACAAATAACAGTATTATTTGAGGGGAAGTCGTGGCCTAATGGTTAGGAGGGGGGAGTGGGGAGTGAATGTACAGCGCTCTCTCCTACCTTCAATACCACGACTGAGGTGCCCTTGAGCAAGGCACCGAACCCCCAACTGCTCCCCGGGCGCCGCAGCATAAATGGCTGCCCACTGCTCCGGGTGTGTGTTCACGGTGTGTGTGTGTTCACTGCTGTGTGTGTGCACTTAGGATGGGATAAATGCAGAGCACTAATTCCTAGTATGGGTAACCATACTTGGCCACGTCACGTCACGTATTGATGCTTGATTTAGCAAGTACCACTAATGAATCTAAATGTTAATGTAAATGTTAATTTTCGCCACTCTCTGTATGCATTGTGGATCCTTTACTAAAGGATAACTGCAGATCATTCTGACCTTTGGCCTGCAGTAATGGCAATCGGAGAGGGGCCGTTTGGGGGCCGGGGTTCCTCACAGGTCCTCATTTCAACTTCTACTTTATCCAGGAACTGCAGAAGGACAGGAAACAGAGTTCAGGCAGAATTTAGTAGGTCAGAACTTCTGATGCTGTCAGTCACTACTTTATGATGAATTACACTGCCCAAGCCATAAATGATCTATGGAATATGGAAATATGAATCGCCCAGCAATCTCCAGAGTGGAAAGTTCTAGGAATCTAGATTAGCATTAGCTAACTTTAACTGGATAACAATCTAATGTTAGTTAATATGGGATGTTTAGTGGTAGAGCATTAACCATCATAATGCATTCAAAATCTGCACACAAATTTAGCAAAACACAAGCATATAAAACAGTCATTACTTAATATTTTTAAACTAAAAACTATTGTATCTGATAAATAATTTCTCATCTCAAAGTTTTGAATGTTATCATGTTATTACTACATTTACCTATGTTTTATTAGAAATAATTTTTAAATGAAGAAATTCTTTGAAAGTTTACATGATCTACAGAAGAACCACTGACATGCAGAAACTACATTTTTTAAGTAATCAAGAGAATGTATATTTGCAAACATCATCATAACAAATGTATAAGAATATATAATCTGGGAATAACCAGTATGGATGAATGAATAAATATTAATTTTATAACAAAACATCATCACTCTTGGTGATCTTATCCGGGGAGAGGTTCTTAGTGAACCTACACAAGACAAAACAACCACTGATTGGTTAGATGGTTTAGGAGTTAAAGAGTCAAAGAGAATCCACGATAAAGAAAAGTGGGGAAAAAAACTAAAGAACTAGTGAAAAAAATACATATACCAAGTTCCTCATGTTTAAGCCTCACATAATACCTGGGTCAAAATGGACCAGAACATAAAAAGTGAAACTTTATTTTTTAATAATTATATTTAATGGATGGATGGCATTTGCGTAATGTGGTTCCCCATACTTGGCCACACGTCACTTCACCTTCACTTTAAGCTGTAGACCAGGCCACTGACAAAAAGCCTGCAGTCACTGTTGGACTCTATAGGACCCACCTTATCAGACACTGTAGCAATTGAGTGAGAAGCACACTACTAATAAGGGTACTTTTGCAGAAGTGAAAAAGGACAGGAGATCAAGTGATAAAGAGTGGGATGACAGAGTGTGACAGAAATGACGCAAGAGTGGAAACACATTGATGGGGAGATTCTTACCAAACATATGGGACTGGTCTTCAGCTTTGTCCATTGTATCTGACACAAAAAAAAAACACACATTAAAATGACAATGAATTTGTTTAAATATCTTTGTGACAATTTCCTATAAACTCTTCACGCTCTTTAGCATATTAATAATAGTTGCTTCAGGCTCTCTCCATCCTACCCGTATAGCAGCCTTGTTGCAGTAGACGCGGGTGACAGTCAGCCAGGTGGGCAGATCCAGCATGTTCTGCAGGACCTCCTCGTCCAGCTCCAGGTTGGACAGCTGCCCCTCTCCCTTCAGTGTGCTCAGGTTGATCTTATCCGGGGAGAGGTTCTTAGTGAACCTACACAAGACAAAACAACCACTGATTGGTTAGATGGTTTAGGAGTTAAAGAGTCAAAGAGAATCCACGATAAAGAAAAGTGGGGAAAAAAACTAAAGAACTAGTGAAAAAAATACATATACCAAGTTCTTAGAAACGTACTCTTCGTATTTATGTCAGTTTCACATGGTTTTGAAATTTTTTTTACACCAGTTGGAATTTAATGACCCAAAAAATGTCATGTGGTGTAACCATTAAACCTAAAATAAAACAAAATAAAATAAAATAACTAAAAAATTATGCTAAACTAGATGTGTAACGGTACACGTATTTGTACCGAAAATTTTCGGTACAGGTCTTTCGGTTCGGTACGCATGTGTACCGAACAAATCGTTAAATTTTTTCAGGAAATTCAGACAGAATATGCCGTTTTGGCGCAACATATCACCGTAACGCCTCAGTTCTGACGGCAGCGCGGAGCACGAGTGAGTGTGATCACCCCTTCTCTTTATTACTAGCTTTAACGTGAAATATACATGAATGAACATCTCACACCTCACGGAATCGCTCAATTAGTGTTTCAACTGCGGAAAGACATTAAAACAGCTTGTAAACAAAATGTCACGTAGCATTTCATTTACCTCAGGCAAGTCATCAGTGTCTACACTAGAAATGAAGTATAGTGAAGAGCATTTTGGGCTCTGTGATTAATTGTAACCTTACAGTAATGTAAAAGGGCTCTCTATAGTTTAGGCAGAAGCTGAGGTAGATTTTTATCCCTAAGAAAATTTTAATTATAATTGAGTTTATTTAAAGCTGCAGTCCGTAAGTTTTGCCTCTGTCGCCATTCAAACAGAAAAAATTGCAGGTTTTCGCAATCGCAATTGCAGTTATTTGCGCAATTATCTTCCTTGCGTGGGTTGTGCGGCGGCACGACTCCAGCGCGGATGAATCTAATGTTTTGAGGTGTATGTGTGGCTGTCAGTCACCGCACCGGTGTGGATATTCACTGTACTTCAGAATCACAGATTCTAGCCTACGTCTTGGAATATATCACCCAAATAAGAATTTTCACCGGATATTGTCATCTGAACAAGTAACAAGTCTGCCACTTTTGTTCTGACCAACTGAGGAAAAAAGCATTACCATAAATCACGCTACCAATGGTGATTAAATCCAACGATCTGTTAATTAGCTCATATTACATCAAACCAAGCAAATTATTATTATTGTTATACTTTGTTCTCAAATTGTTAAATGTTAACAACATCAGCATTGCGTGACTACATGTATGTAGTGTGTATTAGCGTGTAGATTTCAATTTCTGTACAGTCTAATCTCTAATTGTCATACCATTCAAAATTCATATAAAGAAATTCTTTTAATCCAAAAAGCAAATGATTCTTCCTTCGAACTGGTTGTCTTTAAAATACAAAAACTTGTGTAATCCCAGGCTATCTGTAATCAGATGCACATTTAAAACTGGAATATAATTTAGTCACATGTATTTCATAAACACATAATCCCTTCTGGATTACAAGCCGCCATCAAAATGATACATTTAATTATTTTAGCTGCTGTGAGAAAAGGCTATAAACAGTCGGCCGGCCACCTGCAGGATCCTCACATGCGATAGCCTAGTAGCCGGGACAACTTCGTTTTGTTTACAGACGTAACATAATGACGCAGCAGCATGCTCAAATTTCCCGCGAAAAACTAACCGTACCACTCAAATTAGAAAACATTATTATAAGCTAACCGTTGTGAATCGGGCTAAAGTAAGGAGATAGTTTTGAACACTGGCTGTTTATGCACTTGCTCAAATAATGATTTCGGATCATTTTTAACCAAAAAAAAAAAAAAAAGTTAAGGACTGCAGCTTTAAAGAAAGAGCAATTTGTTCAGTAATACATTGTTAAATAAATTTTAAAAAATTTTAGTTTTTCTTCACCTGCTGTACGGAAACCATACCGAACCATGACGTCAAAGGTACATACCGAACTGTCATGCTTGTGTACCATTACACCCCTATGCTAAACTACTTAAGGTTTTCTATTCTAGAATTATATTTTTTTAATGAGGATTTCTTCATTATATTAGACTAGATATATGACCTTGACATGTCTATTACCCCCTCAAAGAAAAATCTGATTTTTAATTTAATTAAACAAGTCAAGGTTCATATTCATTCCATATTTAATGTGTTTACTGATAAATAAACAAATCTGAGAGAAAAAAAAGTGTCATGCCACTGACCCATTCTGTAATCGAGGACAAAACTTAACGACCAATAAGCTACAAGCTTTGTTCATGGGAACACATAAGAATCATATTCCTCAAACTCTCTTGCTCGTCCTTCTCATTCCCTTCTCAGTCACTTTTGACGCTGCTATATTTTTAGGTAATAAGGTCCAAGCTGAAACCGTCATCACAAAGACAGTCATTGACTAACGGCGGGTAATAAGATTACACCATTCCTGCAGTAAGACTGCTTTAAGCCCACGGGAGTGTTTCTAACCCCTGCCCTCAAAACCTGCAGGGATCACAGACACAAGCACACAGAGCACATCTAATATTCACTGTACAGCGCTGCACTCTGCCTGCCTTTACCCTTCATAAGATAAAACCAGCACGTTCACAATAAGAGTGGCCGCTTCAAACGACTGAAGTGTTTCATGCATTTGAATGGGACATCTCCACTGTTCAAAGATTTCAAAGCTTAACCCAGCCTTCAGAAGACCAATGAGAAAGAAGACACTGTCATACAGTATTACCACAACACTTTAGTCACGTTTCGATATGCTGCACTACATGACTGTAATACTCTGTGATGCTTTAATGTTGTATTGTTGATAACAGTCAGATTATTCCACACAGAGAGAGTTTTTCCAAGTAAGACTGAAAAAAGTGCTAATGAGAATTTTTGGCACTGGCAGAAACTAGAGCAGCATGAACATTCTGCAAGGCTTCTCCTTCTGTGTTCCACTGAAGAAAGAAAATCACATTTCACAATTCTGAGAAAGACAGAATATGAAACAGGCTATTATAGTGAACTAATGCCAAATTTACACTGCAAAGGTGGCACAGAAGCACTTCTATGGCATTTAGACAGTCTAATATGCTGATTTGCTGCTCAAGAAACATTTATGATTATTATCAATGTTGAAAACAGTTGTACTGCTTCAAATTTTCTTGGGGAATTTTTTGGGACTTCTATGATGAATAGAAAGTAAAAAAAAAAAAACGATTTATCTGAAATAGAAATCTTGTTTCATTATAAATGCCTTTGTCAGTTTATCAATTTAACACACTCTTGCTGAATAAAATAACTGATGTATTAAAAAAGCAGTGTATTTTTTGAAGCTTTTAGTATGGAAACGCTATACAAAGACCTCTGTAAACATTTCAGTGATGAAACAAACAATAATCAATCAATAAATCTGAGTTTTGAAAAGATTCAATGAAACGGTTTGAAATAGTTCAAAGAATCTGCCATTAAATCATAAATGCTATTAAAACATATGTTTCCTAAAAAATTTTTTACATTACTCACAAATTTAGAAAAACAAAACTAATCGTACTCGGTTACTTTTGTAACCTCGGTTCCCTGAGATACGGGAACGAGTACTGCGTCGCTAGACGCTTATGGGAAAAACTCCTTTTTCTCCGAGGACTGAAGACTTATTCAATCACGCAGTGTAACTGCATGGCCATTGGTTCGTGCAGTGATTATAAAACTATGGCGGTGAAGCCTGCCAGAATGGGCGAGGCCATCTGGCTATATAAGCGGGCATTTCGCCATAGGATCTCAGGTCAATTCGACTGAAGCGACGACACCGAGTCATGCAGCGTCATGGCACGGCAAGGAACGCAGTACTCGTTCCCGTATCTCAGGGAACCGAGGTTACGAAAGTAACAGAGTACGCTCCCTATCGATACTTAACTCGTACTGCGTCGCTAGACGCTTATGGGGAACCAATACAATCCCGCAGTGCCATGAGAGAGGAACAACTGATATGAACTGGCCTTGAGCGAAAAAGGCTCAGAGGGACCAATTATGTGCAGGGTGAGCCCTGCATGAGGCAAGAGCCTTCAGATAATCGTTCCAACGGTCGTATGTACAGCCTCAGTACTAGTAATAGGGCCAAGAGCGTTCCTGAAGAGTCAGGCAGAGCCTGAGACTTAGACTGCCTAGACAGGCGTGTGCCACCTTAAGCAGATAAAATCTGGGCCTGCAAGGCCGGAACATCCAAGTTATAGAACCTGGCAAAGGTGGACGGCGAGGCCCAGCCGGCCGCCGCACAGATGTCTGCTATGGACACACCACTAGACCATGCCCAGGAAGAGGCCACGCCTCGAGTGGAATGGGCTCTCACTCCTATGGGACTCTGAAGGCCCAGGAAGGAGTAAGCTAGTGTGATAGCGTCAACTAACTATCGAGAGATCCTCTGCTTTGTGACCGGGGACCCTTTGGTGCGGCCGCCAAAGCATACAAAGAGTTGTTCCGACTGCCTGAAGGGGGCGGAACGCTTGATGTAACTTCTCAATGCCCTAACTGGGCAGAGAAGGTTAAACTCCTGGTCCTCCTCAGAAGGAGGAAGCACAGAGAGAGTAATAACCTGGGCTCTAAACGGCGTGTAGAGCACTTTAGGGACATACCCATGTCTTGGCTTTGGGACGACTTTGGAGGCGTTGGGCCCAAACTCAAGACAGACAGGGCTTACCGAGAGAGCCTGCAAGTCACCTACTCGCTTAACCGATGCTAGCGCCAGCAGCAGAGCGGTCTTCAGCGACAGTGTTTTTAAGCTCGCAGACTGGAGTGGCTCAAAGGGGGAACCTTTGAGGGCTCTCAGGACCATGGGTAGATCCCATGTAGGGACCTTGAGGGGCCAGGGCGGATGGAGCCTCCTGGATCCCCTCAGGAAATGGACAACAAGGTTGTTCCGGCCCACCGACTGTCCGGCTATAGGAGCGTGAGAAGCTGCTATAGCTGTCACATAGACTTTGAGCATGGAAGGGGA